TACCAAAAGTATTTTTTATTTTATGTATTTCTTGTTTATAAATTGTTGATTTTGTTGTAGAGTTTTCAAGGTATCTTCAGTAGTAACAGCATTCTGGAGCTGTTGTATTCATATGCAGTGGATTGCAATGCTGAAGTAAGTCAATTTAAATTTAAATTTAAACTTTTACCAATAATAGAAGAACTAAAATACATGTAGTATTTTTGATAGCATAATATGTAAGTTCAAGGCAACTGAACACAAGACGCTGTTCTTTATACTCCATTATAGCGTTGTCATGCAGTTCTCTAGCTGCAACAGTTCGATACTAGTTGCGAGTACACTGTCATTGATTATAATGCTATTGTACAGTTATTAATTTCTCTGGCTCCATGTGATCAGTGGTGGATTCATGGAGTGCTTCAGCCCCCCCCCCCCTAAATTTTCCAAAAATTTCAACAAAAATATAGAATAAAAGAAAATTATATTCAAATTTAGGCATGGGAGTGTCATTTCCGGCCATCTAGTGGTCTCATAATCATAATTTTTCTTTAAAAAACCCTCTATCTCTGAAAGTCCCTCCCTTAGCTAAAATATAAAAGCAGTTACATTGTCTTGCCATGTGACGGCTGCACTGGTGATGTCATCATCACCGTATTTAGACATGTCGGGCTTAAGAAATTTATAAAGATTGATTTTGTTAAAATTAATGTGATATTCATACAGTTCCTTTCAAAAGTTTTACTGTTTTTTTTTTCTCATAGTTGTTGAAAGCTTTGGAGAATGACGATGCATGCAGTAGAAGTCGTATGGGGTTCAGATTGGAGCAAATTCCACAAATGAGGTCAAATGTGTATTGCTAGAATGATTATTTATGAGTAACAAGTTCTTTCTTCTTTATACTTCACCTTGGGTATGTTTAGAATTCAATGAAGAAGGGAATGAGAACTTAAATATTACTTAAAGAAACAGAGAAAACTGTGGCATTCCTAAATTATATATTGCTGCATTTCCATTTTTATCAAAGAAAAAAATAGCATTCCAGAATAATATTTTTGCTACGTTCCTATTATCACCATTTTTTATAAAAAAAGATTTTACATGCCTTAAAAAACATAGCATAGATGTAGGCTAAATTCAGTGTTTGCCGTTGGTTTTGTCATATGAATTTGTGGGCTCTGTTGTCCGGGATATTCATATTTTTAAATTAAAAGTTACAGAATAAATAAATTATCACCATCATCATCATTATCATCATCAATACCATCATCAACATTATGCTTATCATCATCATTGAAGATGCTCATATTGTAGGTGTCATAGATTAGTGGTAATTTGTAATATTTAGCCTCTCTGTTTGCTTTTCCAAGAAATCAGTATACTGTATTAGATTAGTAAATACCGTTTCTTTTCGTCAAGAGTCATTGCGCCTCGGAATAGTATAGTAGATAGATGGCGCATTGTAAGTTCTGTTTTATTATTAATATATAATATTATTCATACAGTAATATTGTGAAGCTACAAAAGAAAGCCTTTAGCAGCCATGTATTATTAAAGATCAGCTTATAAAGATGCTTGTATTCCAAGGTACAAAAGATATGAAATCCAACCTATGTTTAACAAATATTCCAAAAATTACATAAAAATAAGTTTTTTCGATGAAATTCTGGTGGATGTTGTGCAAGTAGAAACTACAAGGTACAAGGTTTCACCAACATTATTTTTAATGGATTACGTAAAGCCCTCTCCAGACTGTCAAAAACAATGACATGCCTAAATATGGTCATGATGACATCACATTACGACCATATATAGGCATATCACGACTAAATATGGACATATAACAGTTATTTGTCAAAGGATACTCTGGAAAGAGCTTTTAGAGTGATGCTCTGAAGACAAAAAAAAAGTACCTGTGATCTCTAATCTGCTTTATAATAAATACTCTGTATTTGTATATAAATAATAATTATATAAAATATAATCAACTGCATTGTGTATATATTAATAATAAAGTAGAGCATATTATAACAAACATGAAGTCAGTTGATTGTTAAATTCTAACATTGGGTATTAACACCTTCGTAGCAAACAAATCTTTTTTTAGATATTTTTTATTTTAATCATTCTTAATGTAATTTAATTCCATTACCATCCTTTTTGTTATGTCTTACTCCTCCACCTACTGCATACGATCAATAAATATATGACTTTTCAAAGATTTTATACAAAGATACAATTGTTTAAACGTTTAAAGAAGGTGGACTATTCCATTAGAAGAGAAACCTAATTAATTTGTTCATGAAATATCAAATAACAACAATCCATTTTAGGCATTGAATAAAATAAAATTAATGTAATGGAAAGGTGCAATGAAACGAGTATCATGAGTTAAAATACTGACTATTCTATTCCATTCATTATTTGTATGATATTGCATTTGCATTTATTGAGTGTTAATCTTAATAAAATAACAAAACCCATTTTAGGTATAGAATAAAACAATTAATGAATGTTTATATTCATGCAATGGAAAGAATATAATCATTGAGTAAAAAAGGGACTACTATTCTATACCATTCATTATTTGTATGATATTGCATTTGCATTTATTGAGTGTTAATCTTAATAAAATAACAAGAATCCATTTTACTTATGGAATAAAACAAATAATGAATGTTTATATTCATGCAATGGAAGAAATAGAATCATTGAGTAAAAAAAGGGACTATTCTATTCCATTCATTATTTGTATGATATTGCATTTGCATTTATTGAGTGTTAATCTTAATCAAATAACAAGAATCCATTTTAGGTATAGTATAAGACAAACAATGAATGTATATATTCATGGAATGGAAAGAATATCATGAGTTGAAGAAGGGACTATTCTGTTCCATTCACTATTTTTATGTTATCGCATTTGCATTGAGTGTTAAGCTTATTCTTTGTAAATACACATGAGTAAACAAGCATATGTATCCTATTCAGTATTTAATCAGATTTTTTATTACGCTTGAAACAGCTTTTTATATAATATTTACAGTTTGATGAGTACAATATATATATTTTTTAGGCTATATAACCAACTTTATATGAATATGTATATGATATATGATTAGCTATATATTACAAATTGTATTGTAGTTTTTTTATATTAAAATAAATATAGATATAGATTTATATGAATGTTTTTATTTTTCGTCATGTAATTTTCTTAAGAACAAAGTGCAGTATGTAAGTTAAGGCCAAATAAAAGAAAAATATATTGTGTTGGCCAAGCCCCGAACGACCCAAAATGTACGAAATTGAGGTTCGGCATTGTAGTTCTTTTTTTCTTTTGGCTACAATGAAAAATATTTTTTTTAATGAGCTAAAATGCTCGAAAAGGCTTATTTTGCTGGACGGTAGGTGATGCGAATGTTGTGCGATTGTTTTGCTCTTCAAAATAAATTAAAAAATGTTCTTTGTTGTATTTTTGTGTATTTTCTACTTTTTAGGTATAAACACATTTTTGGTTAAAAAGAAAAAAAAAATTTTTCCTACAGACCTACCAATATTTTGGATTTTCCTGAAACTTGGTTAACACAAGAATTTATTTTTTCTGGCCTATTGGTTATGGTATTAGAAGGAATGGTAGTACTGGGTTTTTTTTTGTTTTTTGTTTTGTTTTTTTGTTTTGTTTTTTGTTTGTTTTTTTTTTTTCTTTTTTTGTTGCTTCTCTTGTTTCTCCTCCAAGCTTCGGATGATAAACAAATTTAATATATTGTTATTTGTTGTTGGTGCAACCACCTTTTTCACCTTTTAAATATTTAACAATCTGTAATTCACCAACCGTTTTTTTGTCAAACATCCTTTTAGTGTCTTAGAAAAATCAGTTGTACAAAATACCAAAACATTTTCCTATCCAAAGCCTAGCTTTAAGGATATTTGTGGTTAAAATTTTCATTCTAGACTTTCTCTTTCGAATATTTCCTTCTACAGGGCATTTCTAGAATAGATCTTTTTTAATAATGAAAATAAGCTTTATATTCGATTGTAAAACATAATTTGTGTTTTTAGTTATACTGTATATCATATAAATGCTATTATATTAATTGTGTATTATGCAATATATTGAATTATTGAAAAATAAAATAAAAAATAAATAAAGAACTTGTCCTGGTGGGGAATATATGTAGATCACATGATAGTAACTTTGGTATGGAGAAACACCTTCGCAATTGATAAGCTAATTATTTTATTTTAGAAAAACATCGGTATTGGAACCAGTCATGGAGGTACAATCATTCCATTGAACCATTCCTGGACGTTTTAGCGGAGCTAATTATTATTATTATTCTGAATAGAATATATAAATAAAAGATTGTACTTTTTTGCTTCAGCTTTGCGTCATTCGTTTATGTTTACTTTACCGAAGTTGAGAATGATAATAATACGTTTTGTATTTTACCGTTTGTTGTTACAATCAGTAAATGAAAATGATCGTCTCGACAAATTGTCAGATGTTTTCCTTACATCATGCCTACATCATGCGTCAGTGTCAACGTGAGAGGCTTACGGATATTTTGAACGTTTACCTAAAAATAACGCAGATTGTAAAGTTATTGAACTGCCTAAATAATCACACAAATACACAAATTACCCGAGTCATACAACAGTGATGGATCCAGGAATTCGAAATAAGAGAGAACTCCGGGAAATAATTTTACAAATGGGTTCAGTGGCGTAGCTACGGGTAGTGTAGCCAGTGTAAAGAAGCATTGGGGCCCATGGCTATTAAGGGCCCATTCATAAATAAACCTGAAAATTATAATTTAAAATAATTTTCTAACTTAAACATTTTTAAAGAATAAAACGGCCAGCGGGCCCTCAATAATATTCGTTTTTTAGAGGAGTAATTATTGATTAGTGAGTTGATTTCAAAGCAGTTGTGTACTCAAGAGTTCCCCAGCAGGCTTTCATCCCCCCCCCCTCCGAACTATTTTTCCAAAATTATAAACGAAATGGGAAAAAAGGAAATTATATTAAACTTGCAAAATAAGAAAGTCTTGGTTTGTAGGCCCAAGCCTTGGGTTAAGCCATGGCCACATCCCGGTGGTGGTCCAAGGTGGGGGGGAGGGGGGTTCTGGAAAATCCGATGTTCTGGCCTTTATTTATTTTAAGGATTACAATTAAGAATTATGTCCACACTACGTTTTCAGCTCATAATCATAGGTCCGCGTATACGGTATGTTTTGTGCAAACTAACATTCATAAAAATAATGACTTATCTGTTATCTACTGATTAGCTCATGTTGAATGTTTTTTTAAGATTCCAATTAAGATTTATGTCCTCACTACGTTTTCAGAATATTCATCATGAAAAGTGTTTACATTTACCCCAAATCATAGGCCCTCGTATATTTATAAAAATAATGATTTATCATTTGTTATCTACTGATTAGCTCTTGTTAAATGTTTTCGAACCATTAAAAACAACTAAAACGAACTTGAAATAGTCACTCTAATCTAGCCTCTTTGCATTTACTTTTAAAATCAATCAAAAGCCGGTCTTTTTCTCCTCTTTTTTAACTTTTGTGCAAGCAGTACAACATATAATTAGCAAACATTAGGGCAGAGTTCTTGTGAATTGCGACTAAACTATTGAGTGGAAACACATCTCCCTCTAATGTACGATCAAGGACTAGGGGAGGAAGCATTCATAAAACATTATTTTAAACGCACCAGAACATTTTTACTTCACAAACATGAAGATGATTTTAAACATTATAATGTAGGCTCCTACTGGAAATACTTAATTTATCATGACGTGGCATCGGCGAAACTAAGTGAACTAACATTGGAGTTCGTAAAATTGTGGTACCACTTCTTAAATATTAGTTAAAAAAGACAGACCATGGACCTATTGCATAGACCTCTAACCCGAGTTAACACTATTGGGTCTTAATACTGTATATTCTCACGTATATGACGAGGCTTAAAAAAAGACAATTTAAGATCGAAAAAATAAAAATAAAATAAAATAATAATAATAATACAAGTTCAATACTAAAAAGATTGGGGTGAGGGAAGGAACAATATAAAAGCAGTAAAAATTTTCAGAGACAGATAGAGACAAAATGAGGCTAAACAATTTATGTCATAAAAGTAAAAAAAAAAATGCGAAACAATAATAGACCTAATAATAAACATTAAAAGTGGGAAAAAGAGCCCATGGCAATATTCGATTTGCCTATCGGGACAATTTCAAAACGATTCAGAAGATTATAACTGCGGCCCGCGCCCACCAGCGCTTCCTGGTCTTTTTGACCTGCTAACGTTTACACCCTTCACAAGTATTATTGAGACCTAATCCTTTCCCAAAATATGATTAGGCGAGACTTTTTATACCTTTTTTTTTTTAGCAAACTCGCAGCCCGCCTATAATAAAGATTTCGATTAAGAATACAATTTTATTTTTATTTTTGGCCAACTAGCACACCCACCACCACGAAAAATGGAAATTTCTTTATTTTTATTGCGCCCGCCGCTGCCGTGAAATTTAAAAAAATAAGATATTCGATCCTAATTATAGGCCTATACATTTTAAAAGCATTTAACCATTCATTTGAATTCAATTCAATATACATTTATTCAATCAATGGATGAACATAACAAAAATCATTAAATTTCAATAACATAATTCAATTGATAAGGATCAAGTTATAGAAGCAGTTTGGCTTGTCTCAATTGACCCTTACAAAAAAAGTACAAAATAGAATAACAAAAAACACAAAATAATACCTGTACCATACGTACATACCCCCCCCCCATACACACACACAATACACAAAAAGAGTACCTGCATAATCGGGTGCTTTATATATACATATACAACATATACATTCATATTACGCACACATGGACGTGCACCCGTACACATACGTACATATACACATACATACGTACACAGACACCCCCCACACACACACAGACACACACACACACACACACAGTTAACCCCAAGAGATTAACCATGGAAGTGTTGCAAGCCAGTGGATTAAGGAGTTTGTGCTATGGTGGGGATTGATGAACATGTTTAAGCTCACTGCAGCAATGTAAAGTAACAATTAGGAACTCTGACTTATGACCTGAAAATGAAAGTTTACAAATGTCAACTATTCAAAATCAAATTTGCAGCAATCCTTAATCTATTTCCCTAACTGGAATTTTTTTGTGATCATAAAAACTGGGAAAACACAAACATTTTAAATTGAGACATTGACTCAGATCTAAAAAAAAAGTATTTTTTATTTTTTTTGCTGGGTGGCTACAAAACATTTTTGATTGATTACCATTCAAATTTGTAGGCTATGCAGACTTTCTATAGGAATATATAAATCATTATTGTACTGTTTAATTGACACTGAATACTTTTTCTCATTTTGTTTTCTTGTAATTATCTGTATGCTGTAACTTACATATACATTAACGTATATATACACACACACATACACATATAGGCCTATATACAAATGATAAATTAACCTATATAGCTATCTAAATAATATTTGTTATGTGTTTCCATTACTACACTGTTTAGATTCGATAACAACATTTTATTTATATTTTCTCCCCCGTCTGGATCTTTTTTTGCGAAACCATTTGCTAAATTAAAAAAAAGAAGTTATTTTTAATTTTTTCCGCCCTCTGACGATCTATAAAAAAAAAAACTTAAGTTCGCGAATCAAGTCTTGCCTTTAACGCAACATAACTTGTCTGGCGCCCTCTATTTTAAGTCTGGGAAAGGTCACTAACCTAGAGAGGTGCATTTCTACCCCTGCATCCATCGAGCGAGAAACGTTTACTCAGCAGAGAGAGGTAGGCTAGACGAAAGTATAAATAGAAGGAGAGTCATTGCGGAATTTACATTAAATACCTAGCGAATACCAGCAGTAGTTGTTTTGCATCATAGTTCTGGAAAATGATTCTGTGTATTTGATAGCCTGTGTCTGTTTCTTGCATGCAACCTCGTTATTAACACAGGTGAGTTGTGGAATTATGCAGAGAGACGGCCGCGAATCCTTAAAACTTGGAGCTGAGGGCAGCCATACGGTTGTGAGAGCAGGGTCGATCGTTTGGAATTTCTTGTAGAGGGGAAAGTGGGTGTGGAATGATAGGTCATATGAACACTTACTAGGCCTAGGGGCCTTGGTCCTAGGCCTACATGTTGTATCCATTTTCTGTTGCTGTCCTGATAGCTCTAACTAGTAAACTTAATGCTTCTGTTGAAACTAAGTTATTGCAAACAACTACCTGTGGACAACAAATAATATCATTATGAATTGAAATCCGACAACCAGTCACACGACTTTCCTCTGTTCTGGATCGACCCTGGACTCGGCTGTCTTGCTTGTGTCTCATGTCCAAGACATACAGTAGGTTCCTAGGCCTAGTTAGGCAAGTCTAGGTTGATTCTTTGCTACGGTGTTTTCCTATCTCTTTTTTGTGTAGTTGAGTTAGCCTAGGCCTAGTACGTAGGCTATGTTTGTCTAGCCTAGGCTATGGAATGCCATATCCATTTCGGCTGCGGACCAGTTCAGCCGTGACGTAATCCAGAAAATAAGAAAATTGAGTTAACTGTGAGGAGAATTTTAAGATTGTTAAACTTAATTACACTCGTTTTTGTATATTAAGCCTGCCTAGGTTTCCCATAGGGCAAATAGAAAAATTTATTATATTATCACTCCCGCCCGCGTCAAAAATTCAGGAAATATTGATGCGGGAATTTAAAAAAAAAAATTTTTGCCTCATCAATTATTTCAACAGCATAAAAATAACAGTACAATTTTGTGACTTCAAATACATTTGCTTTAAAAAACAATAAAATTAAACAACCTTTTATACAATATTTACTATTACTAGCCAAATATCAAGTCCCTCCCTCAGATAAAAGGCAGAAGCGAAATAATCTATTGTTCTGATTAAAAAAAACCCAAAAAACCGCCCTTCCTAATAAATTAAAAAAAAAAAAAAAAGAGTTATAATCAAAAATGTTTTACTACTGTATGTGCCCATCATAAATAAAACATGTTTTTTTGCCTGTTTGTCCCCACATTCTCCTTATTACTTTTTAAAAGTCAAAATGCATTATTATATTGTAATTATCAGTATTAGGATATTTATTAGTCAGTTTCAATTAAAATTTGGAAGTCTATTAGATTATCCCCTTTTGTCTTTTAATATGTAAAACACACAAAAAAATTTGTAGTTGAGGAGGTAGTTACAGTAACATATGTTACTGCAGCTGCAGCTGCCATATGTTTACGTACAGTATTTTTTCTGCTATTTTTTTTATTATGCAACCTCAACAACCGTGTTCAACAACAACAGGGGTGGTTCTTAGCGAAAAGGTTTATCAAGTGTAGAAACCTGTGCAATACATACACACTAGTGCAACTGTCGTCATCCGCTACAGGGGCTGTTTGTACAAGTCCCCATCGGTCTGGTCAAGCGCCCACCATCGGTCAAAGCTCGTCGAGCAGTCAGACCAAAAAAAAAAAAAAGAATATGCCTAGTTTTCCCATCCCAGCCATTTCCGGCCATCTAGAAGTCCCAATTAAAAAAAAAATGTCATTATGGGAGTAGGGGACATCCCCTCCAATACCCACCCCTTGCTCTGGCCTTTGGCCCTCAGATAACACTGCGCGATATAGTTACACACAAAAATACTTAGCGCTACCCCCCCCCCCCCCTAAATTGTAAATCCCCCCCCCCATAAATTATAAATTATATCCTAGAGCCGTCACTGCTAGGAAGACTTGTTGTACTATCAGAACCATAGACTAGCATGCTACTCAAACTAGCGCTGATGATATGGCTGTAGGTTGCAGCGCCCTTGCTAAACTGCTCAGCCATTCGGTTCAAACGACTCAAATCCTTCCAACAGTAGAAGCTCAAAAGGAATGATGGTATGTTGACGATCCTCTTCCTGGCGTAGTACAAGTTATGTTAGCTTTTTAAAGTTAAGCCCCTGCGTGTTGTTAGAGCGCGAGTGTGCTCTGGTCATGTATGATGTTTCCTTGTATTAAGCCCAAGGGATTAACCATGAAAGTGTTGCAAGCCAGTGGATTAAGGAGTTTGTGCTATGGTGGGGATTGATGAACATGTTTAAGCTCACTGCAGCAATGTAAAGTAACAATTAGGAACTCTGATTTATGACCTGAAAATGAAAGTTTACAAATTTCAACTATTCGAAATCAAATTTGTAGCAATCCTTACTCTGTTTCCCTGACTGGAATTTTCTTGTGATCATAAACATTTGGAAAACACAAAAATTTAAATTGAGACATTGACTCAGGTCTAAAAAAAGTAGTTTTTTTTTTGTTTTTTGTTTTTTTTTTTGCTGGGTGGTTACAAAACATTTCTTATTGGTCACCATCCAAATTTGTAGGCTATATGCAGACTTTCTATAGGAATATAGAAATACTTTTTCTCATTTTGTTTTCCTGTACATTTACTTTGTACTTTAAGAATTCAAATATTGAATTTTATTGTACAAATTTATTACGTGATATCTTTTAATTGTAGATTAAGATAACCATTAAAGGTTGTAAATTCTTGAGTGAGTAACGTCTTCAGTTGCAATAAAAATGCAGTAAATAAATCAATAAATCAGTAAATCTTTCAAAATTAAGATTTTCATTTGTTGGATTGTCAACGTGATTGATGTCTTATAATTAATAACTGAGTTTGTGTATTTCTGTGAATGATTTGATATTTTTAAAAAATTGTAGGTATTGTGAACTGTTCGAAGATATTCATTTTTTTTTTTCGAGGCCAAGAAATCTTTTTGTGTGTTATGGTTCCACTTCCCTGCTATTGCTAGCACAATATGAGTCTTTACTCATTGTATTTGCCACCATTGTTTCAATTTGATGTATTCACGTGTTGATACATTTTAAGCAGTGCTGCTGTACTTGGTACAATATTTTAGGCTTTTAATTTTTGCTGTGTATTTTTATGCTGCAATTTTATTTTTTGTATGGGCGTGAGGAAGCAATCTTAAATCGTCCATGTGACAAATTTAACTCACGGCCCACCATTTGCGGTGGGCTTCTAGTATAGTTCTGTACAGTATATATATATAGTCATAGTATAGATCTATGTAGCAATCTGCAATCTAAGTTTTATATATTTATGTGATGTTAGTGTACTTTGTAAAATTTGTATTTTATTGTCAAGGGTCAAATGATCAGCTTTGCTGGATAATTCACCGTCTCGAAGAATAGTTTAATAATGATGATTGATCATGTTTTTTTCCCTTTATTATTATAGGATACACTACACTATAACCATGGATACAAAAGTGAAGTTCACACTAAGGTCATTGATGCAAATATGCATTCTAGTTTCTTCACTGCTGATGGTGGAAGGACAAAGCAAAAATGTGGAAGTTTACAGTGTACAGGACTTTACAGCAGACAACCCAGAGGAGACTTTCTACCACATGGCTGTCAGACATAATGGAGAGGTGTATACCAGTACCCAAAAATCAGTTTATCGTCTCGCGGACTCCCTTGACTTAATTCGTAAGAATGATACATGCTCGTCGAAAGATTGCATAAATATCAACAAGGTCTTGGTTATTGACTACGATAATAATCGATTAGTGACGTGCGGTGGCTATGAAGGTAGTTGCGAGTCAAGGTCACTTGATGAATTGACATATAATATAGCAGATTCTCTTAAAATGGTTGTTAGCATTAATGACCTTTCTGCCATAGGGTACATCGCGAGTAAACCCAATGAGAACTACTTATATGTAGCAGCGACAGATGACGGACAAATGGGTAACTTATTCTATACAATATCTATAAGGTCGTTGAATAATTTCAAGGTTTTTGGTAAAAATGAATTTCGAATAAATAACAATTTCAAAAATAAAATCCAATACGTGTCTGGGTTCAGCTACCAGGAGTTTAGGTATTTTGTTGCAAATATAAAGGAGCGAGTCAGTGGAATTGAGGAAGTATTCCCTAGGCTAAGTCGTATTTGTAATGAGGTTCATATTGAACACCTTTCTGACGTGTACCTCAAGTGTGTCGATGATACCACCAGCTATAAGACAATCAAGGCAGTTTCCTTGGGTCTTGCTGGGCCTGACTTAGCGGCTTCTCTTGGCATGAATTCGAGTGATTATGTTCTGTATGCTGTGTTCTTTAATTCTGACAGTAAAAATTCATCCTTGTGTATCTATAAATGGAGTGACATAGAAACAGCATTTGAGGATGCTTTGTTTGGCTGTTCTACTAAGGATAGTGATTTGTACAAATTGAATTATGCTAGCCAGGCTACATGTAATAGAATCGTGAGTATTAAAAGCTGTACCAATTTATTTTTAGTTACTTTGATATGATTTAAATATAAACAGGAGTGTATTACTTGGATAAAGCATGGCAGAGCCTTCTGAAATAGTGACCATTGTAAAGTTCTCAGACCGTGATAAATCTAAAAATAGACAGCGGAGACTTTGCTCCTAGCAGGAAAAGCCAACAACACCATTAAGGTGTCCTTAAAATACATTTAACAAGAAGGCTATCAATTTTTTGTTACAGTAAAAGCAACCTAATTTGCTTTTTGGGTATTAATTTAATGGCATTAAGTAATTACACTAATAAGCTTAATATTCTTTAAAAAAATGTCTTTTTTTTGGGCACAAAAGCCAAGGAGCAATTTTGATTATTTTTTATAAATCTTTTTCACAAGATGCTCGCATTGAGCGAGCCAAATGGCCGAGCGGTTAAGGTAGGGGCACCGTGATCATAGCCAACGATATCGGCATAGGTTCGCGGCCGGCTCGCTCCTATGGTTCTGGTGGTGGAACAAGTCTTCTCGGATAAGGACTATAAACCGTAGGCCCAGTGTACACAAATGCTCATGTGCACTTTAAAGAACCCAGTACATCCTTCGAGATGAGTAGGGGGTTACCCCGGTGTGCTGGTTCACCCGGCCCCTGTCATGGACTGTTTTATGTGAACTGGGCCCTCTGGGAGAACAGTAATTTGTTACTGAAGAGGAAACCCAGTATAAAGAACAAATAAATAAAATAAAAATAAATAAAAAATAAAAATGCTCTACATAAGGTTTGGGGAGTTGAGTTGATTGTTGGGAAAAGAATCTTGTCTTTTTTATTTAAATTAAACCTATCATCCTGGAATTAGAGAACAAGCATCTTACCAACCAAGCTTCAGCTCCTCTGGAGAACTTATCTTTAGTTCAGGAGTCATTGTTGAATGTTCCACACTGAGGATTATGTACAGTATGTACAGGTGTCTCCAACAAAATTTGTGGTATTTGCATGCTTTTAAGAAGTATTATCAATTGTCTTTTGGAAGCCGGTGCCGATGGGTATTGAAACACTCAAAATTATATGTGTTAAGATCTTTTAACAAGATTTCCCAAAAGTGACTTCTCCCAACTTGGAATCCCTGTATAGTAGATATTAATAATGTGAAGATTGTTTTTTTTTTATTTGTTTTTTTTTAATTGTTTTAGACTATAGATAAAAATGATATAAGTGACTACTTTTGCAAAGACATCTCATCATGGAGTTCCTACTCACAAGGTACCAAAGAAGAAGCAGTTGTGTCCCACGCAGTGTTAGTACTACCAAGTCATAACCTCACAGCAGTCACGACAGTGATAGAAAAAAATCACACAGTAGCATTCCTTGGAACAGCAGATGGGCATCTATTAAAGGTACTGTACTAGAAAAAAAAAATTAATGCATAAAATTATTTTTTAATGAACACAAATTTTTTGTTTAGAAATCTTAGAGCAACTGCATTGTGTTGGCAGTGAAGGCTTGACAATATAAATTTGTAATGTATTCCGTTTTCTTGGCTAGGCCCATCTTGTTAGTAACGTCTCAGCCCGCATGTTTGAGGATGTCACACTAGCTGAAGGAAGTACGGTACGTTCAGACATGTTTGTCAGCGTCGACAATAAGACATTGCTGGCTCTCACTGAAAACAAGTTGTTTAAATTACGTGTTGAGAACTGCACTCAGTACACCACTTGTAATGAATGTATCGGACAAGAGGCAGGGAAGGACGGTGACCCCTACTGTGGCTGGTGTACGTTGGAAAGAAAGTAAGATCACTTCTTTTATTCTTTTTGAGTGTGAATTTCTGCATTGATATTTCATTGAAGGAAATGCAGATCATTGGCGGAGCTAGAACCCCTTGAGGAGTCCTAAGGTCCCGGACAAGTCCACACCCACCTCAGCCTCCATAGTTGGGGCTAGGTCAAGCAAAGGGGACTTTCAGTTTGTAAAAATACTTTTTCTGCAGTTTTCCCTGGTAAAGTGATTGGGTTCTTCTGGAGAGATCCATGATTCTCCAAGTGGCAGTCCTTGTGCCAAACACTTGCTGGCGCCGCCATTGATACAAGATTGTGTGCCAATTCGATTATGTGGTGATGAGACTAATTGAAACACAAAAATGTTAAAAATATTTGATTATCTGCAATTAAAGCAGAGCATATTATTTGCCAAAAATCCCAACATTTTAAACTACAAATTTAAAGTTATTGGTTCCTACCATATTTTGAGAGCAGCTTACAGTAGCTCTGTCGGCTAACCTGGTGGTAGCTGCTATGTGCGCGCTTAAATGTTGAGATCTCTTGGTTCCCCGATTCAATTCCCATCACTGCTCTCCTTGTGTTTAAGCTGGAGGGTTAAAATGCAAGTTACGATAGTGCACTGTCGTTCGCATGAGACATTTAAATCGTTGATCCCACGTGCAATATGGCCCATGTGCACGTTAAAGAACGCAGTACACTCTGCGGAAAAGAGTATATGTTATCGTCTCCCTCTGCACACCGGAAAGAGATTTCACCAATCCCATGTTTTACAAGGTTGCTCAATTTCTGATCCTCTCCAGTTCCTTGCCAGACTTACTCTTTGGAGCATTGATAGTCGGTGTATACAGAATGAGCTTGTTTTTTTAATTTTTCTTTTAAATTTTGATGCAATTTGTAAATATGCATTTGATTTGTAAATTCATATTTTAATGTACTTTGTACAATTTTATAATTTTTTAAATTTATATTTTTGTAATTCAATAATTTTATCCATTGGCTACTGTTTATACCCGAATAAATATATAAGTAAAGACCCCACTAGAAATAAGTCTTCTTCAGACTTTCATGTGTTATCTTTGGTGTTTATACCAAGTTCATTCATCCATCCATTCATGGTGGATGGATAAATGGGGCCATCCATTCATGGTGGATGGATAAATGGGGCCATCCATTCATGGTGGATGGATGGATGGGTAGTGATGGTAATGGCAATTAGTTAATAGTTGTGTTGTGAGCCCACACGTATTCCTCTCTAAGTACCATGTAAAAATTATATAAATACCTGTCTTTGTATTTTTACTAGTTTCAACCTGTGTATGTGTGCGTATGGTATTGACTTTTGCTGTATAAACACATAAATAATTAAAAGAGCATTCTTAAATCTGACATTTAGCATTTGGGACTGTCTAATATGTTATTGATCTGACATGTGAATCCTATGTTTTTAATGAATATTGAAGATGTATGCAAAAGAACAAAACAAAACATTTCTACTCTGCATCTTGTATATGTGTGCATGTGTTATTGACCTTTACTTTGCAAACACAACTAAGTAATAGTGTAAAAAGATCATTCTTGGAAATTGACATTTTGCATAGGAGCTGACTGATGTGTTGTTGATCTCACATGTAACTTTTAAATGTTTTTAATGAATATTGAAGATGTATGCAATAGATTAAAAGAAAATATAATGTAAAAAACATGAGTCGTGGGTGCGATACACAAATATGAAATGAAAATGTCGTCATCTTGTATTTCTGCTGAAATTGATTGTTTCCGTTTGATAGTTGGTCAAAAATTAGTCGAATTGTGATTGATAAATATAGCTGGCAATACTGGCCAAGCAGCTAACTGCACAGGCTACAATATTAGCTAGCTGGGGAAGTTGTAGACCTCAATTTTTTTTTAGTTATTTTTGTTAATAAGAAGCAGTTTATAAAAAGCTGTTTTGAGCGGCGGGAACAGTTTGGATTCCCAAGGGATTGGGTTTCAATCCCTCGCTGTATATTTCGCTTGTGTCCTTGAGCAAGGCACTTTATCTTCATTGCTTCTCTCCACCCAGGAGTATAAATAGGTGCCTGGTGGAGTTGCCTGCTACTGCACCAATATGGCAGCAACATTTAAGGATGTGGACCCACTTCGTAACCTAAAGGAAATAGGCGTTATATAAATACTAAAAATTACAAGTAACAAACAAGTAACAAATATTTGTTATTAGTGAAAGGGACTTATTTGTTTATTGGATGACTACTCTTGCTACCCATTCTTGCATAAATCATCGCCTTGGTCTGTCTGGATTATATTTTATTAAAGCTTACTTTAATACCTAGTATACATTTTTAGGTAGATATTATTACCTGTTATTAACACCGGTCCTATTGCACAATAAAAAGGTTGAAAAGAAATAAACAAATGAAATTTAATGAATAAAAACTGTGAATAAAGTACAGTGATTATAAACAAAAACAAAATAGATATTGCCAAGTTTTGGATTATACAAAATAGCTCCCAACAAAAATGTGTGAACCTTTAAAATTGTATTATTCTATTTGATAACTATATTGATTTTTCTATGTTGTTTTAGTAAATCTTAATAATTACTTATTATCTGCGCTTGGCTTAAGTAGTAGTTTGTAGTAGTATCACTGTAATGGCATCTCATATTCTCTGCATTTCTTGTTTCATCTGTGAATAACCTCTATAATCATTTAGCACTAGTCTCCTGTGTAAACCTTCCTTCTACTGCTCATAATTGCTTTTGATTGATCGCTGTACTTCCATTTTTGTGCTTGGAAGGAACTAAGACAAGTGCTCATTTTCCTTCCCACTGTTGACTTCCTTCACAAGACTGATGAAGTTGTGCTTAATATAAAATTTCTATGATATAATATAATAGGCCTATACTCTTAAATATTCATACACGTGTTCAGTAATACTGTACATTGAAATACACATACATACAAGTATTCATAAAAATGCTGATACATATTCATAAATACATTAGGGACTCATAAGCAAGATGCTTCTAGAGTTTCTACTAATACTACCAAGTAACCATGTAACCATAATAAAGTTTTTATCTTCTTAAACAAATGTTCATAAAACATAACATCAAGGATTTTCCTTCATTGACTGGTAAAGTGGGTAAACAATCCCTCTCATTGACTGAAATCCATTACTCTCTTCAAAGATTTGTTTTCTAGTTTCATTCATAAATGTTTTACGGTTTGTGAATATTTGTTCAGGATTCCCTTTTGTTATTAGTAATTTCATTAGGATTCCATTACTATTCCTGTAGGATTTCCTCAGAGTGGATTCCCCTGATTGGTCAGGAATAGGAGTTCTATTCCCATTCCTTCGGGATGTCTTTAAAGTGACACAAACTGATATAATTAATTTTAATCAGTTTCTAGGTCTGCTGGAGCTTTTCGTCTTTGATTAACTTCTGTCTAGCACTTAGCAACAATCATGATGTTCTTGTTAACTGTTATTTTGTACTATAAATTTGTCAAGAAGCTCACAAGAGAGATAGAGACTAATAACATGGAATTGTAAATCATTCTCCTGGGGATAAATTGTCTTCTTCTATTGACCTTTCCCCTAGGATTAAATGAGTTTATATATTTTGATTGGCTGTTGCTACTGTAGCATTCCTAGGCCCCAAACCTCCCTTTTTGGCCAGTTTATTGCAGTACTAGTATTTTAACATATGTTTATTAAAGAAACAGTTCTGAGTTAAATTTGGCCTATAGGAAACCATATATCTTTCCATTGATCTTCTCTCTAGATTTCAGTGGTTTTTCTCAGAAGGTGAAGGAACCTCCGCCTGTTAATTATATACAAAAGAATAATGTTTATTTGCAATAGCCGGCCTACCGTTGCATCACTGTCATGATGGCAAGGTACATAGATTGGTTTGTACAATGTGGTAAAGTCTTGAGTATAACCTCTATTCCTTCTATAATTTTGGCCACATGGATTGGTCAGGGATGCAGTCTCCTTCATGAGCTTCTCTTCATAAGGTTGGCCAAGTGGATTAGTCCGTACACTGTGAGTCGTTCCTCTACACGATCCTGCTTCCCTAATCTGTAAGATTTGCCAGGTAGATTAATCTTTACACTAGGAGTAAATATAATTCTTCCATGGTAGATTGGTTTGTACACTGGGGTAAAGTCTTGAGTATAACCTCCATCCCTTCTTTAATGTTGGCAAACATGGATTGGTCAGGGATGAAGTCTTCTTCATGAGCTTCTCTTTATAAAGGTTGGCCAAGTAGATTAGTCCATACACTGGGTGTAATGCCCCACATGATCCAGCTTCTTCAATCTGTAAGGTATAGATTGATCTTTACACTGGGAGGATATAGTTATAAGCCTACACTTTCCAATTTATGTTTACAATGTGTCTTTAACAAGCACGCTGGTTGATATGCTGTGAGGCATGGGTCAAGGCAACTGTTTACATTCTAAAAGACATTTTTTTGGTGGAAGTAGCAGCAATATTCTAAGTTGCACTCAGTAACTTGGGAATTTCAGTTAACAGGCAGGGTAGTGGTTGACGAATTTGGGCATTTTAAGGCAATACAACGTAACTTTAAAAAAAAAATAATTAAGAGTTAACATCAACAAAGAGTTTTGCCATGGGACGGCTGTGTTGTAGAAGCTTTGCCTGCCTGGTTAGGAGGCTTTAGCATCGACAATGTGTGATTTAGTGTATCTGAAATTGTAAGCACATTAATGAATTAATATGTGTTACTGAACCATTTCTCCATGAATCTCTTTAAATCAATAGACCGAATTAGCGATCGACGCTGTTCAGCTGTTGTGGGTATTCGAGCCAAAACAAACGCACGAAGATAGGCGATTTACACAGTAATTTAAGAAAATAGCCTTTACTAAAACGTCTCATACACGCTTTGTGTGTAAATTGAGCGTGATTTAAATGTTTATGAATGCAACGTCATCTTTTCTCTACGAATGTGTATACCAAATGTGAAATATAACGAGAAT